TGACTACTGCCTCTTGGTCCAAGTATAGGCTTCGCATTAGCACAATTAAATGTTCTGGGATTCCCATTCTTCTCAGAGTCAGCCACAGTTTGTTATGATCCACACAGGATTATTCTACTAATTATTAAAATATAAGATGCAATTCTAAGTCCAGAGCAGTAAAAGGGAAAACTAATGTAATTCTCACCTCAACTCCCCTAACTCCTGATCTCCACAAGTTTGTGGGTTTTTTTTCTGAGTTGTGAACAAAACATCATTAAAATGTGTTGCTGAAGTATGATATAATGAGTTTTGATATACTAAAATTTAAGGTGAGCAAGACCGTTAACGACTGTCTTAGTGAAGACTAAAGTGAGCGGAGGTAGGCAATGCATGCCAGGGTGGCCACCCTGTACAACTTCTCTTTTCATGAGTATATGTTAAGAAGCGCTGGTGGCGGAGTGCCTAACATCGTGAGCTGCTCACTGAGAAGCTGGTAGCTTAAATTTAGCAACCGCTCCAAGGAAGAAAGATGGGCAGTCTCCTCCTGCTAAGATCAACACCCTCAAAAATCCAATGGAGAGTCATTACGAGTGAGAATCAACTTGGAGCAGTGGGTTTGGTTGGGTTCATGTTCATGTGAGTAAAACCTTTGTCTAAAGTAAAGGAGACGACCATATATCTGTAGCCCAGGCAGGCATTCTTACATTCAGCGTCAATTCCATATAGTAAAAACACTAAAGTTCAACAACTATAATCTTTACTTCCAGCATAAAGCATGCTAAGTCATAGACAATTGAGAACTATAAACATTTTGAAATATAGTAAGGCAAGTGTTTATTTAGGAATGACGTCAGCTTTTTTTGTTTTTGTTGGTTTTTTTTACTTCAACTTTTGGAATAAGTTTTCTAAATGGTAAAAGTGCACCTGGAGTAACTCTTCAGCAAAGAATGAATTCCTCTAATCTCAACACAGTGACAACCAAAGAAAATTAAGGATGTATTTTCTCTTCTAGAATCATTTTAGAATACTAAATTCATACCAAAAATCTTAACTTGGAACGTCTTAATTATATTGGTTTAGCTTTGCTTTTTTTTTTTTTTTTTTTTTTTTAAATAATCTAATGTTCTCGGTCTTCAGGTCAAAAAGAGATAGTCAAGTTCTTGTTCTCTGTGGAAATGTTGAATTTTTTTGTTGTTGTTTTTCACAGTGCAACATCCAAAACTCAGAACACCTGATAAAATGTCAATTTTTAAAATCCTCCTCCTTTTTTTCTTAAATTCTGTAAATTCTTGTGTGTGTGTGTGTGTGTGTGTGTGTGTGTGTGTACTGTCAAATTGTATCTGACTGGTACAGGAGGAGATTGCCCCTCCTTCTTCAGCAGATCTAAAATCCTCCTTCTAAGACCAACATAGATGCTGACATTTCTTATAAAGCCCCAGTTCCTATTTTAGTTAAACTTATAGTTGACTAGATTTAATTACTAAAATCTCAGAAGAGAACAGTCAAGAGATGAAAAGGGGAAACTTTGAGGACTTTGAGTGCTGTTGTTTTTTAACCAAGAGCCAGAATTCATGCAGGGATGCAGAGACGACCACTTCAGAGCTCTGCTCAGTTTGTCAAAGCCTTTAAAGCAAAAGTACCCGCCTTACCCCTACTTCCCGATTCCTGCTCTTCAAAAACAGAGAGGCTGGCACTGGTCAACTAAGACCTCCTTTGTGGTGCCTCTAGAAAGACAGACAGCAGCACATTGACTTAGAAATCTAAAACCCAAACCACAGAGGCCCAGTTCTAAATTCAGCTTCTTAAACAAACTTTTTTGACTAGACTGCCAATAAGAAAAAGAAATGTAAAAACAGAACTTCAGAAGAGAGACAATCCTTATAGTATGCTATTGTCAGCAGACCAATCCCATGGAATCACCATATTATGAGTAAAGGAGAAAAGAGTTTCCTGCCCTACCCTTTCCCCTTCTGTCAAAAGCCTGAAATAAAACAAACACGATAAAGTGAAAGTTATTTCTTTCCAAACCTCTTGATGTATCCTCTAAGTGCCATAGCACCAAGTTCTTGTAGTCAGGAACTGTACCTTAAATTAATAAAGTGAATCACCCACCCTAGCACTTGCCAATTTCACAGAGTTGCTTAGAAGATATCTATTGAGTATTAATAGAATTCATTCAATGTGGTAGAGCTCTCTGCTGCTCCATCTCCTTCAATCAAATGCCTCAGTAAGACAGAGTTTACTGGCAAGCTCTGGTGGCCTAGTCACAAGAAGGTGCACTGCCATCCCAGAGGTGAGCGGTTCAAATCCACCAGATGCTTTGCTGGAGAAGGAGGAACAATCTCCTCCTGTACCTGTCAAATCTGATTTGACTGTACACACACACACACACACACACACACACACACACATAATAATAATAAAAAAAATTTAAAAAAAGAGTTTACCAGTTAAAACTGAGAAAGCTCATTTCAATTGCACATCTGCTTCCTTAAACCAGTAGCAAACCCTTGCCCGCCCTCCCCAGCCCCACCAAACCATATTAGACCTACTTACTTGTATCTCAAGAACAGCCACTGGGTGATCCACAATCCAACTAATATAATCCCATTTATTTCTGATACAGAAAATGCCCATTTCACCCGATCGATGTAGTCAAAAAACTTGTCTGGGAGTGGAGGGCTCTGCTCCTTGGGAGGGACTCTCTCATGGACAACTGTGATCATGACAGTCGTCAAGACCAGGTTGAAGAGAGCATACACAAAGGCAATGCCTGTTTTCCACCACTCCAGGGGAAATTTGTTCCTCGACTCAGTGGGCATTGCAATTTGGATATAGTCTGGGTACTTCTTGGTACCCTTTCGCAGGCCATTGGACAGACTCTTAGGCTTCCCATTGCTATTTTTGTTTTCCTCCTCAGCGGGTTCAGCTGGTCTTGTGTAAGTGTTTGCAGCATCGGTGGTCTGATTTTCCATATGTTCTTCAAGTTTTGCTGTCTCTATGATATCCATTGTCCTTTGGTCTTTGGATAGTCAAGTTCTTATTGTCTCTGGAACCTTGATTTCTTTCAGTCCTTCTACTTCCAAGATCAACATATACTCTTAGAATAGATTGGGTTTCCTAGTACAAAATGTAGAAAGCCAGCCATCTGAATGCGGTTCTTCCTGTTCAGTTATCTGTTGTATACTTGCCACTTTCCAGAAAGGAAGCCAATTCTCTCTTCCCAAAAGATGTTACTATCCCACCTACAAAAACAAAACAAAACTATGTTCAGAAAATATCTCTGTGTAATTGTCAGCCACCCACAACAACAACATTGTCAAACTAAGGAAAGAAATACCAAAGTCATTCACTTTACAAATATATCATCAGAACAAAGTTAAAGCTGCTGAGGTCAAGTTTATTTATAAAATATTGAATTGCTTTATCTTAGAATTTTTGTCTCCCTTTGGGCTGATGTCAATATAAATAGGGACATTCTAGCAATCCCTTCCTTTTAAAATTCTTAAAATTCCCTCTAAATGTGAGGATCCAACATCTCAACCATTTCACCAGACATTACTACTTGTTGCTAACCATGAAGTCATAATCAGCCAGAACCTACTCAGAGTTCACGGCACTCCTCCCTAACGCTGCAACTTTGTTAGGAATCTTAAAAGAACAAAACTCATGTAATAAAGTTTTTTCATGCATTAATAATTTCTAGCATGTATGACATAGGTAAATATACATTAAGTAACTTGGCCTGTGCATTTGGTGAAACTGTCAATTTTTATATCTATTATGACAAAACTGGAGTAATTTAAAAAGTACATTCAAGTTAAAACTACACCTACAAGATATTTAAAATGACCATGTCTCAGGTTACTGCTTCATATTCTGAGATACACATCATATATATAAAGAGAGTTGCCAATCATCAAAATAATAACAAAATAACATTTTAAGATACACAGCCTTTGCTTATTTCTCATTTAGGTACAAAAAGATTATTTTTTTTCTTCTATGACAAAGCAGTTTACCTCAATAGCCATGCACACTTAGTCACTCACAGCATTTTGGTAATAGTAAGCTACCATTATTTCTACCAAATACCAGAAACTGGCACCCAGAGGACCAGTGCAGGGCACTCACTTCAGTACGGATGAGGAAAACGGTGTCTTTAGCTTACACTCCAGAGGTTCCAAGAGCAAAGCCTTCTTTTTAACACAGAGCACCACCATCAAGTCTTTTATACTCACTGGCAACACGGCCCCAGCTGTTCTCAATTTAGGAAAGCAGTATTTTAGTCCTGCTAAGGAATCCAGCCACCTAAAGAGAGAGGTTTCCAAACCTCCTAATTAATCCCCGCCCTGAGGACTCAGCATAACTTAAGCATAACCCTTACTATTTTAAAGGCCACCCTTTCAGGGTAACTTCAAGGGGGTAAAAAATAAGAGGGAGGGAAAATGTAAAGTGGTGACAGGTAATTACTGAGTGAAGGAAAAATGAAAAAGTTGAAACGGCACAGTCAATATGTACAGGCAATATTTGTTCCCAGTTACGGGTTGCGAAGACATCAACCACAGTGTTTGCTGGGCACTATTTTAAACACCAATTGACATATTTCAGTTAACAGATGCTGCCCTGGACGTGCTCACCAAGTTGTGCCAAGAAATCTGGAGAACGACCACTTGGCCAACTGACTGGAAGAGATCGATATTTGTTCCTATCCCAAAGAAAGGTGACCCAAAACAATGTGGAAACTACAGAACAATTTCACTGATTTCACATGCAAGCAAGATTTTACTGAAGATTATCCAAAAACGACTGGAACAGCACATCAACAGAGAACTACCAGAAGTCCAGGCTGGTTTCAGAAGGGGTCGTGGTACTAGAGATATTGTAGCTGATGTTAGATGGATCTTGGCTGAAAGCAGGGAATACCAGAGGAATGTCTATCTGTGTTTCATTGACTATGCAAAGGCATTTGACTGTGTAGATCATAACAAACTGTGGCTGACTCTGAGAAGAATGGGAATCCCAGAACACTTGATCGTTCTAATGCAAAACTTATACTTGGACCAGGAGGCAGTTGTCAGAACAGAGCAAGGGAACACTGCATGGTTCAAAATCAAGAAGGGCGTACACCAGGGATGCATCCTATCTCCATACCTTTTCAACCTATATGCAGAACAGATTATCTGGGAGGCTGGGCTCTGTGAGGAGAAATGTGGGGTCAAGATTGGTGGACGATTTATCAACAATCTGCGCTATGCGGATGACACAACCCTGCTTGCTGAAACTGAGAAGGACCTGAAGCACCTGCTGCAGAGTGTCAAGGACTGCAGCCTGCAATATGGATTGAGGCTCAATGTCAAGAAGACAAAGATTCTCACCACTGGACCAATCAGCAGCATCAGGATGGATGGTGAAGAGATTGAGATTGTACACAGCTTTAGTTTGCTTGGCTCCATAGTCGACAGTCTTGACACCAGCAGCCAGGAAATTAAAAGGCACACTGCCATGGGAAAGTCTGCTGTTAGGGACCTCTCCAAAGTACTGAAGAGCAGTGGTGTCTCTCTGGAGACTAAGGTGCGTCTGATACAGGCCATGGTCTTCGCAATCACCTGTTATGCATCAGAGAGTTGGACAATGACCAAGGAGGATAGAAGGAGAATTGATGCCTTTGAGCTGTGGTGCTGGAGAAGAGTATTGAGAATACCATGGACTGCTAGGAAAACAAACAGATTTATCCTGGAAAGGGTTAAACCGGGTGGCTACTTGGAGGCAAGGATTCTGAGGCTCCGTCTAACATACTTTGGACATGTTGTGAGGAGAGACCCGTCCTTAGAGAGGGACATCATGCTTGGGAGGGTGGAGGGACGGCGCAGGAGAGGAAGGCCCTCTATGAGGTGGATTGATTCAGTGACTGGGATAATTGGGATGGGAGTGTCAGAGACAGTGCGATTGGCACAGGACAGAGCGGAGTTTAGGGCTGTTGTACATAGGGTCGCTATGAGTCGCAGGCGACTCGACGGCACATAACAACAACAACAACAACATTTCAAACACCCTTTTAAAATAAACTAATCTGAACACTTATCAAACAGTTTGTAGACTATCAGAAGAGACAGAACTGGAACAACAAAATTAATGGAGAAGACCATTATGGCAAGAAAATGAATGGAGGAGGTGAGCACTAGTATAACAAGGGAGGACTAATTACAGCTTATCACTGATTCGCTGACAAGATGAGTTCATGGAAAATCCTGGCCATTTCTGAGGAAGAGAAGACATAAGCAATGCTGGGGTGGAAAAGAAGGATCATTGCAAGAGGAAAGGATGAGAGAAGGGCGGCAGACAGGAGCTATTAGCAAGAATTCTCGGCATCTCACCTTTCTCTTGCTCCAGCCACCCCTACTACTCTCTATCAGCAAATAGTCTCTGTAGGGTAAATGATGAGCCGAAGGTTGTGAGAAGAATGAGTGAGTACGACTAAGAAATGCCTTAGTAAGGAGATACTTTCAAAACAAACTTTCAACAGCGTGTACCAACAGCTCTAATGGAGGTACCAAGCCACAAACTCAGCCATTGCTCAATTACCAACGTTAGCCTAATCTACTCATAGCATTTTGACAAACTCTCATCCAAATTCCCACCAATTGTACTATGCCACATTTGCTCCTAGCCTGGTGTTCAGGTGTGGAAGAAGCTTTCGATTTTAAAATGTAAGCTTCACCAGCAGACATTCAGATGATCTTTAGAAGATAGCCACCCGCCACCCAGTTCTAGAATATAGAAGATGGAACAGCAGGAGAAAATCCAATTAGTTATCTTTTTTTTTTTTTTATTTAAAGAGGAAGCACTCAGCTATCCATCTCATGGGACAACTGAAGATGACTGAAATAATTAATCATGAAGAGCTCTGAGCTCCTGGGAATAACAGCACTCCATGAGTGCAAAGCCCATTTATCTTCATTAGTGCCATGGCTGAGATTGTCCTTGGGATTTCATTAATAAGATTAAATATACAAAGCACACTCATCAGGTGTCAAACAATCTGGGGACTCAATGACTGTTTTTAAGATGATATTACAACACACTTATTCCCACAGTGATCCTTTTCTACCAGTAAATGTCTGGGAAAGTGACAAAGCTCAATAGTTCCACCCAACAAATGGCAAGACCATTAGTTTGTTTACAAAGCAAATGAAAGGCTTTCCAACACACCATTGCAAGTTACTGAAAGTTAATCTAGATGACTCTGGAGGAAACAAACAAACAAAAACCCCCACAAAACAAAACTAACCCCCCAAAAAAGATCTTTTTAGTCAAATCTCTCCTTGGAAGGTAAATGCAAAAAAATTAAAATATTTCATGACAGATGCTACTGTGCTATTATTTTTCAAAAAGAGCTAAGTATGATTTATTCCAAAACAGATGTAAGGCTTTAAGTAGGGAATTATTTAGTACACATGATAGATGGTAAAAAGATTGAGATTGCTAACAGATTCAGTTTACTTGTCTCCACAATCAACACTCTAGGTACCAGCAGCCAGAAAAATCAAAAGATGAATTATATTGGGAAAGTCTGCTGTCATGGACTTCTCCAGAGTACTGAAGAGCAATGATGTCAGTCTGGTGAATAAGGTGTTCCTGATCTAGGCCATGGTCTTCACAATTACGTGCCATATATCAGAAAGCTAGACAATGACCAGGGATGATAGAAAAATAATTGATGCCTTTGAGTTGTGTTGCTGGAGAAGAGTACTGAATATACCATGGACTGCTAGTATAAACAGGTTCCTCCTAGAGAGGGTGAAACCAGGATACTACTTGGAGACAAGGATTCTGAAACTTCATCTGACATATTCTGGGCATGGTGCAAGTAGTGACCAGTCCTTGGAGAGGAACATTATGCTTGGGAGGATAGCAATAAATCACAAGATAGACAGAAACTCAATAAGAGAGATTGATTCAGTGACTGTGGTAACGGGAGTAGGTGTGTTAGAGATAATAAGGTTGGCTCAGGATACAGCAGGGTTCAGTGTTGTTGTATATAGGGTTGCTATGATCTTAAGTCTATCCCACTCGAATTTCAAAACCATCTCAGGAACAGGTTTGAGACCTTGAGCACCATTGAGTGTAGACCAAATAAGCTCTGGGAGGATATCAAGAAAATCGTCCATGAAGAATGCAAAAGATCATTACAAAGGCTGAAAAAAAAGAAAAGACCAAGATGGATGTCAGATGAGATTCTGAATA